CTCACCAGATCAAAATTAGTTCAGATGCTGATTTTAAAGCAATTTCCTCAAAATATTTACAGCTATCTATTTAATCAAATTTAAGAAAACAGAACTTATTTGAAGTTAATTTGACCAATGACACTTAATATTATTACATTGATATTTTACCTTATTCAAAATTATTTAAACCAGATTCTATGAGTATTTAATTCAAATCGATGTTAATTTTTATTAGTGTACTCTATTATTCAATACCAAAGCACTCATATGGAATGGAGTTTTGCATAACTTATTTTTGTTATGATATACTAAGTTGTGACCATGAGATGCTAAGTTGTGACCATGAGATGCTAAGTTGTGACCATGAGATGCTAAGTTATGATCACAAGATGTTAAGTTATGGTCATGATATATTCAGTTGTGATCACAAGATGCTAAGTTATGGTCATGATATATTCAGTTGTGGTCACAAGATGCTAAGTTATGGTCATGATATATTCAGTTGTGGTCATGAGACGCTAACTCGAGATACAATAGTCATGGCCACAAGATGCAAAAAAATATTATTCTGTATTATATGTCGCCTCTATGCTTCCGTAGATTTGTCATTTTTTTCCGTTTTGTAATGTTGATGTTTAAAAATTACTCACGAATAGTTTTGGCGTTAAAAAATTCATTATAGTTGGATTGTACATGTACGTTTTAGCAAATACATCCAGAGTCCTCAATAGAAACAATATAGTTGGATTGTACCTGTACGTTTTAGCAAATACATCCAGAGTCCTCAATAGAAACAATATAGTTGGATTGTACCTGTACGTTTTAGCAAATATATCCAGTGTCCTCAATAGAAACACTATAGTTGGATTGTACATGTACGTTTTAGCAAATACATCCAGAGTCCTCAATAGAAACACTATAATTGGATTGTACATGTACGTTTTAGCAAATACATCCAGAGTCCACAATAGATACAATATAGTTGGATTGTACATGTACGTTTTAGCAAATACATCCAGAGTCCTCAATAGAAACAATATAGTTGGATTGTACCTGTACGTTTTAGCAAATACATCCAGAGTCCTCAATAGAAACAATATAGTTGGGTTGTACCTGTACGTTTTAGCAAATACATCCAGAGTCCTCAATAGAAACAATATAGTTGGATTGTACCTGTACGTTTTAGCAAATATATCCAGAGTCCTCAATAGAAACAATATAGTTGGATTGTACCTGTACGTTTTAGCAAATACATCCAGAGTCCTCAATAGAAACACTATAGTTGGATTGTACATGTACGTTTTAGCGAATACATCCAGAGTCCTCAATAGAAACACTATAATTGGATTGTACATGTACGTTTTAGCAAATACATCCAGAGTCCACAATAGATACAATATAGTTGGATTGTACATGTACGTTTTAGCAAATACATCCAGAGTCCTCAATAGAAACAATATAGTTGGATTGTACATGTACGTTTTAGCGAATACATCCAGAGTCCTCAATAGAAACACTATAATTGGATTGTACATGTACGTTTTAGCAAATACATCCAGAGTCCTCAATAGAAACAATATAGTTGGATTGTACATGTACGTTTTAGCAAATACATCCAGAGTCCTCAATAGAAACAATATAGTTGGATTGTACATGTACGTTTTAGCAAATACATCCTCAATAGATACAATATAGTTGGATTATGAATGAATGAATAATTTATTGCATTAGTATATACATGTAGGCTACATAACATAATGCTTTAGCATATATACCTAGTAATA